TTGTGTCTACAATACGTTGCTGCAATTCTTGCTCGTATTTCATTAAAATCAGCAAAATTATGTAATCTGACATAAACACATTTGCAGCGACATCGTATATGCTGATGCATTGTATGGTAAAAATTATGTGAAATTAGATATTTCTTTTGCGAAATAGTTACAATCTATTAATCAAACCGCTAATTAAGCAACATTAGTGGCATTCTAAAGAGAACGAATTCGTGGTGTCAGATAAATTGCTTCACGTGTCCCCAGAGAGATTTGATCTTCGAATAGTGAACACTAATTGAATTTCATTTCTTATCTTCGTCACTGAATCTCTATTGAAATTGTTAAACATAGGTGGCAAAAGAAATAATTTTGCAAATAACATTCCATGCTAATAACAGTGTAACGGTATCATGGGTGTCAAAGAAATTTGTTTCCCGTATTTTGTCACAAAACGAGTGCAATATTGCAGCATAATGGATTTCTAGAAATGTTATATTTCAGGAATTACGCTTTTAACTTGTGTAGTTTTTATATGTTTCCGTTCCATTGTTGTTGTGGACACGCTCTTGTAGAAACAATCACGGTTTACCGTATTAATTGACATGCCGAAACGGTATTCCATTTCGTGCCATACATTAATAGAAGATCTATAAAAATTAAAAACTAAAAATAAATATTTGTAATTAAAATATTTTTAATGTAAAGTTGAAAATTCAGAGTTCATTACTTATTGTTCTATTTATTATTTATTTAATTATATTTTAAATATTTATAATATTAAAACCCGTTGATCTGAAATGATCACTTTGAAACTAATTTCCAATTTCGAATCCCGAATACGAACACAGGACGTAATGACGATTAGTAAAGCCGAGCCGGGGAAACGCGTAACCGCATAATTGTCGCACGACTCAGGACAGAACAACGTCCAACAAGTAATTACTAACCAGTATTCGTCCAGATGTGAATCGAGGTAAAATATTTGTGCCGCTAGGACGATTGCCAGGTTGGAAGAAGTCCAAGGGTCAAGTATAATACAACCTTCGACTATTATGTGATTTATGCACGAGTAAAATCCTTTAACGATATTACTATGAAACCTTGTTCTTGAAATACTTTTTTACAGTCGTCAGTGAATAAGAAAGAAGAAGGTGTGAAGGTTCGATGAATTAACCTTTAGACACGTTCTTAGAGATTCTAATGAGTGCTATTGAATTATCCTGTGAGATACGTGTTACAAGTACTGTTCTCTTTTATGATAAGATATTAATTGGATCGAAAAAAATTATACTTATCATTTTAAAAATATCATCGACTTTATGGCAAGAAAGTCTTCGAATTACTATTTTTCTGTAACGAAAAGATCGCCAAGTGCAGAGGGCTAATTTGATCAATAAAACATACAAATCATTAGCTTCACCACCTTAAAAGGAAAACTATTAGTCACAGAAAATTTAAGCTCTACTCGTAAAATGACAGAAAGCTGTTAATAACGAGCGAAACTGTCTTTACTACTTAATAACAATAGTGGTTTAGCATTATTATCGCACATACCTGATATCTCTGCGTTAATTTATAAGAAAAAGAACGGTGTCAAACAGCTGGCCTTACTTCTTGTCCAGTTATCAACACGGAAGTAAGCGGCTCGAGTCTTTTCATTGTCAGACGCACTCCGTGAGCAATATACCGTTAACGTAGAGTGGCGCATAAATCGCAGCCGGCGTGCATAACGATCAATCGTGTCGCGTGGACATTTATCAAGATGCACGGACTCGCGTGCACGCGGCCAACCGAGACGAACGATCACAGAGGCTCGAACGAGCAATCGCTGCTCGGAACCGCCCCTTCCAGATCCTCCTGAAGTCTTGAGGAAAGAAAAAATGTAAGGATCTCGATAGACGAGGTTTCATCAGTCACGCAAAATGTCTACAAACGTTATTCGACATTTATAACGAATTTCGGTTGCACGTCGAATCTAAAAAAAAAAAAAAATGCAATGTTAACATTTACGAATATTGGTTATGATGTGTCATTTGAAGATAATACCTGTTATCGTTTGATTACTGAACCTGTTGTCCACTGTCCCACTAGTTTTATCTCCAACTGAAGGTATTACAGGAATCTTCACCGTGTTATCTTCTGAAAGGTAAGAAAGTGAGGTTATAAACAATGCAAAGCAAATGCGAGAAAAATTAAATAGATTGAAATAGTTCTTAATTATGTACGATACAACCTCGGAACCAATGATTTTTTCCAGTATATGGATTTGTATTATTACAAAGATGAAAACTCCGATATTCCAAAGGAACACTCGTAAACGTCGTCCAGCATTTATGTTCGCGCGCATCTGCAACGATCGCTCGAACAGCACGTATCATAAACACACTTGCTCGACTTAGGGAGCTGTACACACCAGGCTAAGTTATGCTGCGTTCATATTGGTGTTCGCAAGCAGCCACGACCAATTCGTGTATCATGTTCACCGTCAACGTGGACACTTCTATGCAGAAATAGCTTACAGTGAACTCATCAACGAACAATGAACGGTGTTCGTCTAGGTTAGGTAGATACATTTGAAAGCCTTTTCGTGTCCGGATACATCATATCACGTTCCCGACAAATTTCACTATTACTTCGCTTTCAAAGTTCAACTTACATCCGATCTACGACTGACGAACATTGGCGTCGATTAAAACGATTCGAAAATTACATATACCTCTACTCTAAATTGCAATTATGTTAATTACATTAACATTACATTTACATTAATTATAACGATATCAATTGCAATTGTATTAATTATAATTTAAATATACTATGACGACCTATATTCGTGGGATAATAAAGTCTATAAAATACCATAGTTCTCTGGACCATTTTTAAATTCAAAAATTATCATTTGTGTCTACATGAACCAGCATGAACTTTCATTAAACACCAAGCTGATAACCTCGTAACTACTCGTGTTCTGCTCCGAAGTTATTCGCCATAGCAGTATATGTATGCATGATGCTATGTATGTATTTCTCTTCACGATCTTCGCTGTAGATATAATATTACTTCTGCTGACAACTTTGATATATAAATCGGAGAATTTCTGAATCGTACTGACCAGCGTAGACGGGGCATTAGACCAAGGTGTTCGCCCGGCGACCAGGTGGGGATGAAGGCCACGTACTGCTTCTGCAAATGCCTCGACGATCTGCACCTAGACCTACAAAACGAGATAACTCGCGGCGATCTACCGGCGACTCGCGTCGCGCGTGCATTCACAGATCCGAGGCGCCAATAGACGCCACGGACTAAGGCGCGCGTTGTCATAGCCGTTCGCATACCGACTTTGCGGAAGATGGAAGTTCGCGTCGTAGGAAATTTGAATGTCGACTCGCGTTTACCTTGAAGCCGTCCACATTGTGATATTAATAGCTTTCATGGTGTCTTAATTGATGTGAAAATGTGAGCAGTTGTGGGGAAGTTCGTGTCATTTGTCACATCTCAAGAGTCATCACCATAAATTTGATCTAATTCCGTTAGATGTTTTGGTAATTTTTATTCATCACGATACTTTTTTAATGCTTAATTAGTGTATGTAATTGATTTTGGAGTCTTTAAGTCGAATTATTTGAAGATACACATGATAAAGTTCGTGAAGTTATCAGCCATTTTTAAAAGGCTTCAAACCTAACAGGTTCTTTCCATTTTTGGTATTATTTATCTTGTTTAAAAGACTTCCTCTTAGCCATCTAATAATATTTTTCTCCTCTAATCTTCATTTTTAATATCATAATCTTATTCCTGAAATAATTTTTTGTTATTTTTATTATTTTAATACTTCACGTGGTTTATTGTATTCTACAAGGAGTTTTATAAACCTATGTAAAATGAAGAGAAATTACTTTTCGGTGTTTCTTCGAATTTAAATGCTTGTTCTTAACATAAGTAATAGTATAATGGGATGGAAATGAGTGTCGAATGGAAGAAATATCGAAAGTGAATAACGAATATAGAAATCATATTTATAAAAAGCATTTCAAGGACGGCAGTAGTGAAGAATTAAACGCGTTGGAAGGCAACTTTCGTATTTCAGTAAAACATATTTTAACGACTCCCACAATGTCAGAACTTTGAGCAAGAGTCTGCATAGTAAAAAGCATCATTTAAAAACTGACTCGTAGGAACGCCAAGAATCTACAAAGAAGTTAGCAGTGCGGTACCTGTTAAACACTTCGTTACAATCCTCTTGCAACTAGGTTTTAAATTAGTAGAATAGCTATTTTTAAAGATACCGATAACTTTCAAACAAGAAACTTCTTTTCCCCTTTCGTTGGTATTAATTATTACATATGCAAAATATTTACGATAATAATTACGTGCATTTCAAGCAGCGATCGAGCATCAAGGATAAACTTTATATAATTATTCAAGCGTTTAATGCTGTATTTTTCATCGCATACTTCTTTTATGAAAAGCACTTATTCATCTTCAGAATATTTATTTTCAACTGAATCATTGAATCTTTAAAACTAGAATCATAGTTTGTTCATTCTTTTGTCTTTCCCAAATCCGAATCTCAACTTTAAATATTGCCAGCAATTGGCTTGAATTTAATAAATTTTGACCTGAAAAACATTACAAGTTAATATAAAATTATCACTTCTTTTCTAATAATCAGTCTTTTCTTTTGTCAAAAACACATAAATATAAAGATCATTTTATAATTCTTAAATAGAATCCGTCCAAGTAATTCAATAACTACTACACTGTCCGAGAGTACAGAATTTTTCAACAAACGTACCTCAAAGTCTCAAGAAATACAGAGAGACGTCGCAGATAAATCTCACTAATTCTTGCCAATCTCACCAAACAAGTTCCCATTCGCAAAACCGGAAACCCTTCAGACTTTTTTCCATTTCACTCGAAACAAAAATCCCGCTCATCAAACATCCTTCCTTCATTCTATTCTCATCCTCGGTACCTCGGTCTAAAAGCAATCTCGTCCCCTGTTCCAGGTGGTTCCGCCGCAGGCAGCCGCGAGAGATGTGGTCGCGCACGCGATTCTTGCTCCTGGCGTGGATGATCGTGTTGCTGTTCGGTGCAAAACTCAGCAACGGATCGCAGAGGCCGCGTCTCGGCGGCGCCGTGAACATCTTCAGCCGCTACGGCTACCTTAGCATTAGCATGAGAGTAGTTCCCAGAAATGACACCGACACCTGGATCTTCCGTGAACCTACGTTAGACGTTTTCAGGAATCCCGTGCCAGTGACAAGCAAGCAACGGCAGCAGACCGCTGTGTTCGACGGAGACTTTCATATGGAGTTCTGCGACAACGTGCGCCAGCTGTTGCAGGCCTACTTCCGGGACTTCACGTTTGAACGGTTGGAGAGGCCATGGCGAGCGTTCACCGCTAGCTGGTCCAAGGCGGCCATAGCTCGTCACTTGGGCATCAACTCATCATTCATCACGGGTGAACACTGTTACGTGCTGGTGCGCGTCGCCAGGTTCCGGGACAACCAGAAGCTGGCTAGTACCGCAGATTCGATGATCCTAGACGAGGCTGTTCTCCGGGAAACGGAGAATGTCACAGTCGGTGATACAGCCAGTGTAGTGCGGTTCATCAAGCACTTTGGCTCGCACTATATCGCGGCTTACGTCACTGGAAACTCTTTGTACCAGGTGAGGGTTGAAGTATCATACGTACTTGTGTATAGTAACCCAGTATACGACAAGATGATAGTGTATCTCATGATTTTCAGTGTCTCTCTTCGATGCGGTATATTTCTGCAAAAGAAAATCGTGAAATTACTTTTGTAGCTTCGGTGTGGAGATCATTGGTAATGTCAGATCCTCTGGATACGTAAATTTATTCTTTAGAAAATTATGTTTCAGTAGTAATTATCAATCTTATCAGACGTTTCTTTCCGAAGGACGTGACTTATATTCGGAGACCGCACAGTTTTGATAATCGTTATGATACTGGTTCGTAAAAACCTCAAATGCCGGATGTTAGAACGTTGGAAGTGTGGTTTAGATCTTTGATATGTGAAAGTTAAATGATATAAAAGTGTTTTTATCTTAGCTTCGTTGATCTGGGAATTTTTAAGTATTTTTATGCAGGAATACTATAACTTCCCTCTTTTGAGAAGAAATTTTTTAATTATGACTGTATTCGTCTTATACTTTTCTTCATTTTGATTTATACTCAAAATAATGATTAACATCTACAATATACATATATGTATATTATTTCATATAAAAATTTCATGTTTGATATATTTAATTATATTAAATAATTTTAGTCTATCATTGATCTAAATGCAAACACGTGCTATTATTTCCTCCTGTTGTCCCGTTCATGAATACCTTCTATAAAAATATACCTTTTCAAATTACGTGTTATCCCTACTGCAGCACAATGGAAACATCCATGAATGGCGTCACAGAAGCATAATTTATTTCACAGCTGTCATATCTAGCATAAGGCTAACTAAATTGACATCCACGAAATAAGGCTTAATGCAATTTAAAATCGTTATAGGATTTAAATTGAAATGCTTACCCTTTAAAAATACAAATAAATACTTGCTACTGGCGTATTCGAATAGAAAAGGATTATAGCACTTCTCTTCAATAAAATCTATAACAATAAATAGCAACGATATAAAAAATCCTATTTAGAAATCTCTTAGGAATCTAATATAGAAAAATCATAAAATTTATAATAACGTGATAAAAGATCCCAGACTTTCAATAACTGAATCTTTGATCAACGATTAATCCTTCTATTCTACTAGACAAATCCACGCAGATCCTGTTGCGTATAATATCAATCTTGGTATCTCTCCTTTGATACTCGTGCAAAAGCAACGATTTATAGGTTTATAAAATTTATTGCTTCAAGTTTTGCTTCCGAGAATCAATTTGAATCTCTATCTAGTATCGCCAAACCGGTAACACTCACGTTGCAAGATGCTGCCAAAGAAATCCTCTTTCAATATTAATTGATCTTCCCATACAGTCAAAATTACACGTATGAGCCAATGTATCCTCCTGTCTCTCTTGTAGCAGCGTATAAACCTCAACGCCAGAATAATGACACTGAAGCATACACTCGTTAATTTAATGACCACCCAGTTGAAGTCGTTAGAAACAAGAAAAGAAAAAATACAAGAAAATAAATGACTATTATTACCTTGACTACTTAGTTAATAACGAACGTGGACTTCGCAGAGTTTACCCACAATGTATTTTAAGAGATGGCGCAAGTGAGTAGTGGGTAATTCCATGTTCAAAAATAAATGAAAAGTGTGAAGTAAAATTTTTTCATTTGATGTTCACTTTCCGAAAAAATCGATTTCGAAAATTCATTGCGTGCATATGCACTACACCTGGGGTGCCATTCAATTGTGCATTTATTCATTTTATTAACCTGAATATAAAAAAAAAAAACAATGTAAAGTGTCTTTTAAAATGACAATTGAAATGTCTCGCATTTTGGAATAATTTATTTAATTGTTTTATGCACGGTTGTATTGATTAACAAATTGAAAAAGGATATAATCCCGTTTGAAAAAAGCAAAGTTGAGCTTTATGTGTCCTCTAAAGCGTTCAACATCATTCCCATTTATGATCACTTACTGAACTTCCAATTTATTTTTGTAGAAGGTCGTATCGCGTGTATAAAATACGCGAGCATATATAATAATACAAGGTCATATAAAAAAATTAATGATAGGAACGAGAAGCTTTTATTTTGCTATATTTCATATTCTTCTTAAGTAACGCATTAATTCATATGTAAACAATGGTGTTCTACAATATACTTACAGGTTACCCAATATGGATGACATTGTAGTCAAACTGTCAATTTCTTATTTGAAATAATATCGCGTATTGAATATACCAACTGATGTCTTCTTTCCTCACTCTAAATCATACGAATGTTGTCTTTCTTTTAAATGTACATATACAAATCCATCAGTGGTACCAATCGTTTTCTGATATCTTTTGCTAAATTCACATAATTGGTCAAAATACTAAAAATATCTGTATTGCTTTCAGGTGTTTGTGTATACGCAACAGGCGTACCTTCGTATCAAAGAGCGGTTGAAGACCCGTGGCGTCGCAGATTTATCGAATACTGAATTGAGCAATTACTTCTCGCCATGGTATGCAGAGCACATGGGCTCTATACAGGCGGCTAGCGGAAACCGCACTGTCGAATCATGGGCGGTAGAACGACTTCGAAACCAATACTATATTTTCTCGTACGCCAGTCTGTTGAAATTGCACGGAGACGCAATGTTGCTAAAGCAACTAGACGGACTGTTGGGGAACGAGGCGCTGCTGCAGCTGCAGCTAAAAACGATCGCGCCAATTTTTAAAGACCCTCGACGTCGCGAGTGGTTCCTCGAGGTGATCGACAATTACTTTAAGCTATGGGAGGTAAATATGTGAAGTAGAAAGAGTCCTAAAAAGGAGAACATTGGTACACCTCCGTTTTACTTAAGTAATGTTACGTACCGGCCGAATCTGAACGTGGAAGACTACGGTATACGAGTACGTATGTATTCAGAACAAAGATGATGACCGATGACTTCGACAGAACGATCTTCCGTCGTTCTAGGACAATTATAGTGTTCGAAAAGTCGTTAGTCACGGTCCGCTGGAAGTTCACTATTGTTTCTCCGTCAAACGGACGCTAGAATTTAATAGAGAAACGCCCAACTACTATATTGTTATTAAATAAGTATTTATTATTATAATCGACGATAGAAAACATTTTTATACAAACGTTTTAAATATATATGCATATCACAAGCAATTTTCGCAAAAGTGACTGGAAAATACGCGATGTACCGTTTCTGCGTTTGCCGTTTCCATTTTTGATATTGGTTTAATAATTTCTATTGCATTTTCGTTTAAGCTCTTCAAGAATGTAGCGACAAGTGCAGAATCAGAACTCGTGGTTTTTTCTTCTTTCTCGCGCTGATTTTCTTTTCGGATATAATCGAAATTTAGTAAACCGATACTTTTGAAAATATGCATTGTTTATTTTATAATATGTTTTATGCTTATGAACTTATGGACGTCTTTTTTTAAATCGAATTAAAATTAATCGATGTGAGTATTTGAGTATAAAAGAACAGTTAATTTGTATGCTTCATTTGAACGAACAAAAATTATTTTATTGGCACGATGGAACGACTAATAAGTAAAATTTATAGGAAAAGTCAATTTGTTTGATCTTAAATGTTAAATGTTATTATAGCCTTTATGTTCGATTATTGTTTGACTTTCCTCAAAAACGTAGAATTATAACAATAAACGTAATAAAAGTGTGAAACAAGTTCAATAAAAATGCGAGAAAGTTCAAATGTTTTTTAAAGAATAATCATTTGAAGATTAAAAAATACACATAGGTGTATTAGAAAAATCAGTATTTTTATATGAAATTCGATTATATTATATATAAATTATCCTGTAACTGACTTTCAAACTAACAGAAGAATCTTGAAGAATGCGTACTTACTAATTTTTATCGAATTTTGTACATACGTATAAAAGTTCTTATTGCTTATACATAGCACTTAGAAATGCGTTTACAATATTTTACAAAATACAGCCATTTCAACGTACTATGTTTTATTATATATATACGAAATTTCATACCAATCGATGAGTTCGAATTCTTCAAGCTTCTTTACGAGTTAACATATCACGAACAAAATGTAACAACTCTTATTATGCGAACTCTCATATAAAAGAACAACTGGTTTAAAAATTATTTAAATTTCGTCATTTCTAATTTGCACGACATTTTTCTAAGAAAACACGCAACAATTGTAAGTGGATTGACCTATCTCCAGAAATATTGACTGTGGTAAGATTATTCAATTCTATTAATATATAATAATACTTAGATTCAAAATTCAAATATCACATTGCCTATTGACGGTGATATTGATTTGAATACGTTATTAGCTACGTTTCATTATAAATTCGTGAACAATTATTTGTGCATTAAGCTCAATCGGTTTTTTTAAAGGTGTGCAATTTCGCAGATGCTTGTTGCTCTCTACCTAATTTTCTTCCATTAACAACCAATATAACTGGAGTTTCGACGCGTATAGATTTGAAGTCAAAATCCTGGAAAAGCATATACTTATATAATCGTTCATTTTAAAACAAGCATATACCAGTACAATAATACTAACGTTATTCTGATAAGAAAATTTTTGATGAATCACAAATGGTTCAGGTATAGCAACAGAATCTCCTACAGTAATTCCACGTCCTTTAGCAAGATTATATACTGTTACAGCAATACACGTTTTTTCTTCGTCAACGAGACAAAAAGCGCTGGAAAAGATATTTGTTAATTATGATAATAAATGCTATTCGTCATTTGTTACAATTTTTTGAAGATGAAAAATACACTTACAAAGGTACACAATCAGTGTCTTGTATCCAACACACTACTTTTCCAAATATAACTTTCTCTGGATTTACTCCGAGGGCTAATTCTTTCAATAATACTAAATCTAATTTTACAGTCTTCTGACCAGACGTGAAAGAGCCACCTTTGTATGGTCCCAAATGCTTAACATCCAATGCCTACATTTAATCAGAAACCTATAAATATGTATAGGTACCAATATCATGTATTACATTTATAAAATCTTATAAAACAAAAGTCATCTTGAAATCATATGTCTATTATAGAAAAAAATGTATTGTTTACAAAAATTTAGATACCCTTATCATTTGGTACAATCTCTTCGTCTTTACTCTTCCATTACTGTTTACTGAATTTTGTACATCTTTTAAATATTGTAACAATTCATCCCTTTTGTTACGTGGTGTTTCCCATACTGGATCTAATAGTATTGCTCTTGCAAAAGACTTTAATGCTAAACTATATTCCTCTTGATACTTTAAGGCCTATTGTTATAATTTATTTACATAAATGACAAGAACTCAACTTCATTAATGTTGTATTGAAAATAATAAAATGCTTACCACTGCCTTATTGTGAAATAAATCAGGATTACTTCCTGCTACAATATCTTTTTCCTAAAAAAAATTCCAGTAATTTTATTGCTAGTCCATAATGAATGTTTAAAATTGTCACAATCCAAAATAACTTACTGCTTGTGCATAAGCTGACATGCAAAGTCGTAAAGTTGCAGGATTTTGTGCTACTGTAAAAAAGGAAGACAAATAAGCATTTCCCAAAATTGCCCAAGAAATGCCATCTGTTGTATCAAGACTAACTGCTTCCTTAGCATATTCTACACCTTTCTGTATATTTTGTATTCGTTGTTCAGCATTAAGGACTGGTTCTTGTCTGAATACCATTGATAAATTTCTTAAAGATATTTTATTCCTACCCTAAAATATTTATTATCACATTTTAATTAACAAACAATTATATAACAATAACAGAATGATAGACATAATATGAAAGAAAAATTTTACATGACGCAAAGCTCCAACAAAACAATTTTTTGCTTGTTGAATATCATCATTTTTCCAGTAACATTCCCCTAATTCATTCCATGCCTCTACTAAGTTAGGTTCTAATTTCACTGCTTTTGTTAATAACTCTTCAGCTTGAGGTATAAAACGTTCTGTAACATTTAAAGCTTTTCCCCTTAGATAATAATATTTTGCACGTGATCCATCAATTTCATATCCTTTACATTCGTCAAATTTATTTAAAGTATCTTTCATTTCTTTTTCTACATCACCATTCTTTTTAATAGCTTCATCAATAGAATGATTTTCAAAATAGTGATCTCGAAAAAAATATAATGCATTTACTTTCTCCTAAAATAAGTAGATAAAATAAGTTTCACATAAGAATAAAATAAAGATTAAAAGAAATTTAACTATGAAATTATATATTTCTATAAGCATTTAAATTCGTTTACTAAATTGTAAGGAAATGAAGGAAAAAGGTTATGTTCTACGTATCATTGAAAAAATATAAGCGAATTGATTAATTATTTAAATTTTGTTATTAAAACGGTGTATATACCGTCAACGCTACAATGGGATCTTCTTTAACAACGTTTGCAGATTTTGCTCCTGCAACCACTTTATCATCTATAATTGCGGACATTTTTTAAAATACTTTCATAAACAGCTTATCACAGAAATTTCATTGTGCGTCAGATACACATGGGGTTTCTACTTTTATACATAATTTACAATTATATACATGCGAATTAACGCGTACACAAAACGGTATAATCTACCATTCGGAAACTGTCAAATTGTAATGCTAACAGATTATTCGAGTAGGTTATGTAGTATATTAATGAAACACTAGTATAAGGTACTACCCGCAATAACGTTAAGCGTGAACATTATCAAGTAATTTACTTTATATGAAAAAATTGAAAGTGCTAAAGCTTCGATTTTACAATTTTACAATGATAATCATAATAAAAGTAATTCAAAAATGGTTTTCAATTTATGATTTTTCACATGTTTACGATAAGCTTCGTTCGCATGATTATTATAAATGCGGTATCTAATATAGTACCAGTATTGACCAAGAATAGCGCCACTAGTATGCCTCCCACTGCCACCTGTCGTGAACATCGAACGAGGCAACTAGTACAATCGTGTACTCTGTGACCAAAGCTTCCCCAGAAGGTTGCATCGTCTCAGGATCGCCATTTTATGTGTTTGGCTCTGAGACTGGGACGGTGGGTGCGTGCGGTGCAAACTACAGAGCGTATTCCGTGTATTATCTGCAAGATGTTACCTAAATACTTTGCTCCCGACATGTACAAGTAACGACAGGTGTCGGAGTGTGTGATCGGGCAGCGAAGGCTCGGGCCGAAATGGTCCCGGAATAGTGAGCTGTGCGTGAGTGTGTTTTCATCGAGTAAGTGCGTCGCACACTGGCTTTTCACTGCTGTCACCGTTTGTTAAATACCTGTGCCATTCGAAAAGTCGGCTTTGGGTCAAATTACGGACGGCCTCTGGATTCCTTGCGACACCCTCGCCAGCATCTACGATGAGTTCGCGCAACATACCCTCAGACAAGGTGAGTCTTGTCACTTGCTCTAATATGTCTACCGCACCCTTCCGCCTCCTCTTTCTCCTTTATCCTTCGTATCCACGCAATCCCCGGCTGCCGTTCGATAGCGATCGTATAGTACCGTTTTACTTAGCCGTACTTTTATTCACTAAGTCAGGGTTATCGGATCGTCAATACGTAAAATTGTAGTCGGATCAATGAGATGCTTTCTCGCGCCTATCGACTGCCACTTTTTCCGATTAAACAACGGATGTGCACCCTCGTACCAGCGATAATGATATCTTTTTTTTTCTTTTTCATTACGGTATCTACCCGTTTCCTATGAATCATGTTACTCGTACGTCAGTATTTCGTTAAGCATCTGACAGAAATATTCCAACGAAATGTTCAACGTCAAACTAAATCTCGTGCGGTAAAGCGTACTCCAGCACCTTTTAACACCCTGTTGGTGGATCGTAAATCGGTACAACGGATTTCACGTCATCGGTAGTTAACTTTATTTATCGATGCCATCCTCCACGTCGTAGTACCATCAAGCACTGTCATAAATTTACACTTATAATTAATTAATCGACAGAGGTCTGTCTTTGATTATAATGCCTTTCGTTCGAGCGACCACCAATTTTGCCGGTACTTCTTTCTTCTCGCGTCAAGAGCTCACGCTGTCGAGCTGTTCTATCCCGCCATCCCCTCCCCTCTCCTTCTACAATTCCCTTGCCCAGTACTGTGAATTAATTGTGTCGTGAAAGTCGTGACGGAACGTTCTCCACGCTTTGTGAATTAGACCTACCGTCACTTACCATGGAATCGTCGCGTTTTTTTTACAAAGTCGTCGCTACTCGCGCGAAGTGCACTCGTAGCCGACCCAACAAGGCTGTTTAATTGGCACCAATCGGATCACAGGCACAGGCCAAGTATGTACTTTGTGCGTCGATCAGTGTCCCTCTGTCTCCTATTGATTCCTCTTCTTCGGCTTTTGTTTCGCGTCTCGATATTATTAAATCAACGGCCGTGTGCGGCAACGTAGTGGAATATGCTGTCGCGCGAACGCGCGCGCACCCTCGGCCGCGGGCTAAAGAATAGATCGACACACACGGCCTATTCCGCTAAAAATAGCGCGCATCCAAAATTCAGCGGCATCGATGGAGTGTAAAATAGATGCAAATATTTGCGCGGCCCCTTTTCGCGCGGATTATGCACGCCATTCCGGGCTATTTTCGTATCGTACCATAACAACCCCCCTGTTTGTAATTAATTGGCGATGTGAAGTACACTTGTTCGTGTTAAATGAAAATTCGCGCGGTTTCGCGCTACACAGCGGGGAGAAATTTGTTATTCGGAGGAATCTAAGTTAATTCATATTTGTTATGCAAGAATGAAAATTTTGCGTTGGAGGTTAAGGTATACTTATTCAATGCAAGTCATGGTTTTACATAGTTTATGAGTTAACAAAGTCGATGAAATTTAAAGACTTGGAGACTTGTATTGAAGTATCATTTGGTGTAGGACCCCGGAAACTAAATCACTTCGTATTAATAATTGCAATAGTTTGACAAAACAATAATTTTTAGTTTTTTAAGTAATAATTCTTTTTATTTAACTACTGATTAGTATATCCTGCGAAATATGTAGTTAAATAAAAAAAGGCATTCAAACTATTTCAATTTAATTGCGTATGTAAATTAAAATTTTATTATTCGTATATATGTATAATATACGAGAAAAGAATTAATATAAGATACATCACGAAAATAAAAAACGAATAATAAAATTGCAATTACAATATTTCTCATATTTTATATTCAGTTCTAATTGACATTAAAGACAAATATGTTTCTATTCGCATGAAAATGCAAATAAACACATTTTTCCATGGATTAATTATTTTCATAAAAAACTTATCATTGAGTTTACGCCGAAAGAAGTGAACATAGTTCCAGCGTATTTAAAATAGCCAAGAATTTCAGTAATTTATTCTCGTCTAGGTTCGCAATAATTACAGAAAAATTCACGCGAGCAGAATCAAATGGCAGGCCGTTCCGCTAGGCTGACGTCGAGTTTTCAATTAAGAAATGTTTTCCGCGGAGAATTGCGACCCCGCGGAAGCTTAGTTTCGTTACAATTAATCGTGCAAATTGGAATTCATGGAGAGCCACCATTCCAGCCTGGATACCAGCGAGAGCAGCAACACGAGTCCTTTCACCCGCTGTCTCGCCAAAGATACTCTATCACTTAATTATTTTACTCCGTGAGTAACGCTTTTGCAGAGAAACATTATCACGTTCGCTGCCGATCGGATTTTCGTTACCTGCTATGCTTATACGGTAACAAGTAATTTTTGTACCAAGTTTATTTCTATTATATGAAACTTTATATGTGTTATAGGTGGAAAATTTAGAAGTGCCGTTATTCATTTCATTACTTCTGCATTTTGTATACCAGTCAATATTATATTGAATCAAATATTTTATCTAATTGAAAGGTCGAGTTGTTACGCGCGCTTTTAACACGTTCTGCGTAGCGCTGTTGTCGCGCGGCAGTGCGTTCAAGCTTCGTGTACCATCGATGATGCACGCCATAAACGTCATAAACGTCAAAAACTTAAAACGTATGCGACCCACGCGGCAGGGAACGCTTTAATAAATCACCGCTGTGCGCGTGGAGCCAGATAATAACAGTTGTCTTCTTTTTCGTTCCGTTTTATTCGTAGAATTTTCTGGATATTGTGTTTCTAGATATATTCTTGCTACGTCATTTGCACTAAATTGGCCTGAAATAGCAATTAAACATTTATTTATATAAATACATATTGCACGTAAAATTTATTGAACTTTTATCCCATTACATGAAAGATATATTTTATACATAAAGATAAAGATTAGTTTTATTTAAATTTTTCTGGAAAATATTATTTTTGTTCTATTTACAATACTTTCCATATGATATTTATATATTTCAACAGAGATTGAACTAATAGACTGATTCATACGTGTGCTAAGCTGGTTAAATATTTGATTTACAGATCGATATTACGAGGTTATACTTACACATACTTCTTATTTTTTTCTTACGTGGTGGTAGGTAGACAGGCTTGTAGTGTACCTGTTGTGGTTATTTGGTTATATTGAATCCAATTGTGCGTAACTTATTTTGGAAAACTTCCTAACTTTCTATATTTTTTTTACTAGTAGACAATGATTAATTCCACAATAGATGAGGGTTATCGTAAAATTAAAAGAAATAATTTGAATTTAATTTCCTGTTAATCATCTGTAACAGCAAAAAAAAAGATTAGTCAATAATTGAATAACAAATTTGCTTTCAAAAAATACACTGACCAGTATTTTACTTTATCAATAAAAAGAATACATATTTAATACCGTTATGAATCAGTCTCGAACTAACCTATTACATCAAGTAACCTTCTTTCGTTTCTTTTCGAAAAGATTACACATTCTTGACTTCCATTTACTGTAGGCGGCAGCCATATTTGGAATCCGAGGAGTCTAGACATAATTGGTCAAAGCAGTCACCTAGCAAACGAAGCGTCCAATTTCTAACCTCGAACCGCCAAACCAACGACTCGACCAATTTTCTCCCCACGTTACTAAAATAATTTATCTTTCACACACACTTACCCGTCCGCACCGTATGTTATTTTCGACTACCTAAAAAATTCTGTCATTTTTCGCTGAATACGTTGAATTCGCCTTTTGACGCTGGGTATACGTGATTTATCAAGCCTGGCTGGAACATCTCGTTGGCATCGAGTACGAAAGACTAGAGAACGCGTTCTGGCGGCCGTCGCGCCATTGTCGTAGCTATCGAGCAAAGCATGGTCAAGGTCGATTAAAGAACAGACCGAATGCGTTTCTTTTCTTGCGAGAAAGAAAGAAGGATCCCTGCGCGGTGGATCGAGTACAATGCGAGAAAGACGTTTCTTCTAACTCGCACAATAAACTGTGGCGAATACGGTTTCCTCTGCTTACGTTCTGCTGCTTTCTCCTCGCGGAAATACAGAGTGGGCGTGGTGGGGGAAAAGTATGGGAGGGACAGATCGAGCTGTCCGTCGCGTCGTATGGAAAGAGACCGTCCGGCAAACGGATCAAGGCGAATCAGCTTTTGTAAAACGTCTAAATCGATTTTCTGTGTCGGGCGCTTTTCTTCTCCGAACAGAAATGTGTGTCGACCGTGCTTGCGGGCTCGTTCCTTCTACGATAAGCTGACGATTCACTTCGTCCTTCTGAGTCGAGGGCGAGGCTTTTCGGGATAAAGTAATTCGATGACGTGGGAGATGAAAGACTACGTCGTTGCGGATAGTTCGTTGATAAATGTTGGATTACTCCTTGAAATAATACCGGTGATAAAAATACTTCTGAATTAATCATTGATTATATACGTGATAACATTTGTACTGCATTTCTTACCATAAAATCATTTAAGGCGAACGAAAATAAATATAGTGATGTACTGAATTGTATGAGGTAATGGCCTTCATATTTTTATGTGAATTTTTCTTTTTCCTTTTTTTTTTATTTATTATACTTTTCTTTTCATTGTATTGTAGTGGCAGTTATAAAAGTTGCATGGGAAAAAATATGGCGAACTGTACTAAAATGGAAAAGAGGCAGCTTCATGTTTTTTTCCTCACCAGTACGTTTCTTGTAATGTAATTGAATTTAAAAGTTTAATGTAATGCATTAAATTCTGATCGATGTTTCGGAGATTAGTGCTACTTCCACATAAGGAAATAGAATCCAATTGAAAAAAAATATATCTGGGCGTAATTGGAATTCGATCTACGCGATTACGTGCCTATGCTTTCAGCGATTATGGGCTATTGCCTTTTTTGAAAAATGTATGAAGGCATCGGTATGTCATATCCACACTCGCGTGTTTTTTTATCTAAGAATATTTCACAAACCAACGAGTAACCTTTTAAATTATTAAAAATGCGTCGAATACTTTTCGTTTTTTTTTTCTGGATTTTAATCCCATTGAAATCT